AACAAAATGTTAATGATTATGAAAATCTAAATGTTATTAACACTAAATTTAATGATGCCACTGCTGTAGATAATAATGATATTGCCGTTGTCGGTTGTGATGAAGAGTTGACTTAGGGCCTTTTAAGTAAGGATAGTCTTAGGGCTTTCTTTACTCGAGATACAAACAATTAACGGATTTATAAACCTGGCAGGGATGATGAATAGAATATGAATTTTCTTAGCTCCACAACCAACTATAGTTCAGCAAAATGTACAAACTTTAGCGCATCAAGTGTCACTTTCTAATTGATTTCCCTTTCAGGCAGCATGGCAGACTTGGGCGGCTTCTTCGGCTCGGCTCTTGGTTCCGTTTTGCTCCTGAAGTTTGGCCAGAGGATGTCACTGCTCCTCGGCCTGCCAGTCACTGCGGGGGCCTGGTGTGTACTCGTGTTTTCACAGACTCCAACGTTGATTCAGTCCATGAGGTTCGTGGTAGGGTTAACCGGGAGCTTCATGTTACCTGCCGGGACGATGTACATGCTAGAAATCTCTCACAAGAAGCTCCGTGGTCTTCTCTTTGGCATCGTGACGACTAGCAGACAGGTCGGTGTTCTTTTCGTATATGCTGTCAGTTGTTTAAACCTGGGTTGGCGTTACACGGGGCTTGTGTGTGCGGGGGTGTCTCTCGTTCCCGTCGTTGGTCTTTTCTTCCTGCCTAATTCACCGCGTTGGTTGGCCACACATGGCCGCGTCGACGAGGCTGAGAAGGCCCTTATGTTCTATAGGGGGAAGCTGTATGACTGGAAGCACGAAATGAACGCCATAACAGACCAGGTGGGACAGAATGCTCGGCAAAATAACGGATTCTTGGCCCAACTCAGGATCATGAGGGAACCGTCTACCATGCGAACTCTCGCCGTGCTCATCTTTATATCACTGCTTTGCAATTTCAGTGGGTATACTGTACTAGTTGCATATGCCGTGCCAATCTTACAATCGGCCAACGTAAATCTGGATGTCTATGTTAGTGCCGTAGTGATCGGTGCTGCCAGGGTAAGTGGCACTCTCGTTCACCTGACAATTGTGGACAAAATGGGTCGGAAACCTTTGCTGATTTCTGCGTACACTGTATGTGGATTTAGCATGGCCGTTCTAGGATGTTTCCTCTATATCCGAGACAATTTCGGATATGAGTATATAGACCACATAGGATGGATTCCTCTCGCTTCCCTCGTCGTCTACGTCTTCTTCACAGGCGTTGGTCAGCCCGTTGTTTTCATTCTTCAAGGTGAACTGCTTCCCACTGCCTTCCGAGCCGCTGGTGTTTCCATGGTAATGATTCTCGTTTTCTTGGGGAGTTTCGCCGCCATTCGCACGTACTCCCTGATGTCTGGGGTGATGGGTGAGCACGGAGCTTTTTGGTTCTATGGTGGAATTTGCCTGACCATCGCTACGGTTGGTTGCCTAGCCTTGCCTGAGACCAGCGGACGCTCCCTAGAGGAAATCACGGGCAAGGAGCACCAGAGAATGCGAAAGGCTACTGAAAATAGTTTCAAATTGGGAACCACTAATTCTAAAGTATGAATACTACATAGCCACTATGCAGTGTTCTATGAAAGGCAAAACACTACAAAGTGTTAATAAAATGTTGGTGTGTGCAATGAATTACACACACATACACAGATATGTAATTTTTTGCAAAATATGAGAAATAAAAATGAATTATCTCTTTTTTTCTTTCATTTCATGCAATTTACTATTATTTACTATTGTTTCATCGTATTCAACATAACGATTTAGATGATAAAAGGCATGACAAACCTTGTGATACTGATAATGGTAACAATATGATAGTATATATTATTAATCATATAAGGGGGACATTAATGAATTGTTACATCATATCACTAAAGAACACTAAAATCTACGTATTCGAAAATGTGTGTGTATATATATATATATATATATATATATATATATATATATATATATATATATATATATATATATGTATATATATATTTGTATATATATGTATATATATATATATATATATATATATATATATATATATATATATATATATATATATATATATGTATATATATGTATATATATATATATATATATATATATATATATATATATATATATATATATATATATACATATACATATATATATATATATATATATATATATATATATATATATATATATATATATATATATATATTTATATATATATGAGTGTGTGTGTGTGTGTGTGTGTGTGTATGTATACATATAGACAGACATTTATTTATTCATTTATTTACCAATATTGCTAAATAAAGTGCCAAGTGTATATATATATATATATATATATATATATATATATATATATATATATATATATATGTATATATATACATATTTATGTATACATATATATATATATATATATATATATATATATATATATATATATATACATATATATATATATATATATATATATATATATATATATATATATA